ACTTTTTGTTTTTTCACTTAAATTAAAAAAAAAATTTTCCCTAGCCTTTTCTTTTCTTTACTGAATTTCAAAAGGGCACTTATGTATTTCTATAGCTGATATCTCAATATTTACCTTATAAAAGTACATTTAAACATTACTTTAAAGGTGTTTGTGATCATGAAGTAGGGAATACATGGACTAAGTAACGGAAGTAAACAAGTTATTTTCAAAGTATTTTTCACATTGTAAACCAGAAGAACTAGGATGATTGAAGCTCAATAAGTGTTGTAACTACTTTTGTACTCTAAACATCTCTTGCTGTAATAGCTCTCAAATGATAGCCATTCTCAGATGCTATGATATATAGTTTAGTTACTGATTAACTTGTTTAAATTATCTTTCTAAAACTTCAAATTCCCACTGGTATAATCTGAAAATACAAGTCTTACCTGTTAGAATTGTCTGAAATGCAGCTTCTACATTTGTAGAGTCTAGAGCAGACGTCTCAATGAATGACAAACCATTCTTTTCTGTGGGAAGACACAAAAACTTCAGTCTTGTCAAATTTTAAAACAAGGGTTGTGTTATACTCAAGCCCTCAAAAAGGAAAATAACAACTTTTTAAAACCTAAGACCTCCCCAACTTCTGGGACACTAAGGGCACCATTCTATTTATACTTTAATAGATTAAAAATAACAGTGAGAAATTTTCACTGGCTTATTAAATATTTGTTACATCTAAATACTACCACTAGTAATGAATGATATTACTCAAAACACAGTAAATTTATTAAATACCCAACTATTTCCATCCCTCACTGTCACCGCTATCAACTACATAGCTATAGTATTCACTTAGAATTCTGTAACTAAAATTAGTCAGGCGTAGTGGCATGCTTGTAGTCCTAGCTACTTGGGTGGCTGAGGTAGGAGGATCACTTGAGCCCAGAAGTTGGAGGTTACGGTGAGCTGTGAACCTGCCACTGCACTCTAGCCCAGGCAACAGAGCGAGAACCTGTCTCTAAATAAATAAATAATTCTGTAACTATATTATTTGAAATAAAGTTTATTCTTGCCTGGGAAACTAAAAAACTGTTACAGAAAACCATTCATAGCATAATCACTACAGCAAAGGCAAGACTTTCACTGGCCAGGAATGTACGATATTGCCTTCTAGTACACAGTCCCTACCAGAACAGGGGCCAGAGAAAGGCAGATCCTCTATGAAACCAAAAATTTGTAGCTCCTAAGCAGGGGCATCCCTGTTGGTCCCTGATACTCCCTGGGCCGATACTTTTCAGACCCACATAGAGCAGCCTTGGTAAATCACAGAGACATAATGGAAAAAGAGACAGGAAGGACAATGTTTATAATTCAATTTTTGGCAGAAAAACTCAAAATACTAGGATTTTAACGACTCAAAGTTAAGCAAAAAAGCCATACAGTCATGACAAACTTTCAAAACAACAATTCTTACAGAGCATCCATGTTTACCTTTCTGAAACTATTATAACCTATTACCCACATTGGAAGGGTATCAAAACTGCCAGACTTAACAGTAAGAAATATAAAATCTGTAATATCATGAAATTCATTATCACTAACCTGCAAAAGCTCTCGCTTCATCTGTAGGAACTGCCCTGAGATGACGTAAATCACTCTTATTGCCCACAAGCATGATAACAATGTTACTATCAGCATGATCTCTCAGTTCTTTCAGCCATCACTCTACATTTTCACATGTGAGATGTTTAGCAATGTCATAAACCAATAAGGCACCTACAGCTCCACGATAGTGTGCTGATGTTATAGCTCGGTATCTCTCTTGGCCTGCTGTGTCCCATATCTGTGCCTTTATTGTTTTCCCATCAACCTGGATGCTTCTTGTTGCAAACTCTACTCCAATGGTGCTCTTGCTTTCCAAATTAAACTCATTTCGAGTAAATCGAGACAGGAGATTACTCTTTCCAACACCAGAATCTCCAATAAGAACAACTAAAAAGACAAAGAACTTAACGTCAGATGAATGAGGCAAACGTATTCAGAATACCACCATGTTTTCAAGAAAATGAAGTTTAACTTCCAGGTAAATAAAGCAAAAAAGATAGGGTATCTGATTTTTAAAATGGGGGCAGGGAGCTGAGTAACCCATGTTTTTGACCTTTACCAACTGATGAAACCAATTTATTCTTTAACCTTTTTCTACCTTCATGATGACTTCCATACATCATCTGCTTAGCATAGACACAGTACCCCGTCTTAAACATGCAGTTTTAATCATAGGTGCACTAGGCACTAAAGACAGGCATTAATTACCATCAATGCCTTACTACCTGAGAAGGTAGTAACTTCAAAGATAAATTCTAAACTAAAGAACAGTTTATGATACTAAAATGCATCAGACATGAAAACAACAAAGGATGTTAGTGGGTGGGCAGGGAGAGAATGAATATGCTCTACCTAATTTCATCAAAGATTGGGTGTGACCTCAGGACTGACACCTAGGCAAAGTGAAACACATTTAATATAAAAGGCATCAGGTGTATAAACTTTGCCACTCAGATCACAGAAACAACAATGACCTTTAATAGTTGTATTTATCAGACTGGCACAAAGGTAGAGACCACTCCCCGCCCCCACCTCCTGCAAAAAAATCCCACCCTATTAAGGATAAACAGGGGCCCTACGAAGCTAACTAATAATTCTGACATACTATAGGTCAAAGCCAAAGCAAGGAGACCATACACTTTCTTTCACTTATGACTGAATGAATTTCTTTGAAACAGGTTTTGATTAGATAAAGTTACTTCCTGTGATTTTTATAGGTGGCAATTTATTTACTAGCTAAATACATGGAGACTCTTTTTCACCCAAGGTGATATTACACTTAGGAATTTCAAAAACAATAGGGAAATAGGCAGTGAAGATGAGTTGTTTTAAGGCATTTTCTATCTGAATTTAAAGATCAAAACGAGTTCACAGGTTTACAGAATCTGAGCTAGGCAACTTTTTTCCTTTGTAAAAATTTTTATTGGCATTTCAAGAAACATTATAGTCCTACTATTGACTACTAATGCTTCTTCTTACCTATCTAAATTAGCCAATTTTTTTAGACACCAGAACTAGAAAATCAAATGTATAAGAATAAGGCCAAGGAGTAAGGCCATGCCTTACTAAAGAGGCTGGGATTTGGTGGTATGGGTAGAGAGAGATACAAAAATTGAGAAAGCAACGGCACTCTAGTCAGAGGGCAAAGAGAGTCCAAAATGCATTCTTTCCTTGCCACAGGAACGGACATAAACTGGCCCCTGGACAGTCTTGGACAGAGTTACATTATCAAATGCATATCTTTCAGGCTTCCTCAATCAGCTGATTCAGTAAGAAATCATCAAGGCAGCAGTGACTCCATGAAGCACAAAGAGTAGTTATTTCTAACTATATATAATATATATATAGTCAACTAGAGAGTGTCAAAGGTGCTGCATGATGTTATACTAAACACTTTTATTTGGATACCAGGGAAGAAGATGTCAAGGTGATGAAAGCAATGTACAATGCACTTTCAATTTTATAGGATGGTTAGTTGATAGTGGATATGTTAGTTTCCAAGGTCCACCACTCTGGATCTGAAGTCAAATCCCAGTTTCAGTAACAGAGTCTACCCATTAATAGAATACATTCACTGTTGCTTCTTAGTACAAGAGGCTGGATGGATGTTCTGCTGAAGACATCTTTGAATCACTTATGGCCCCACACTAGCACTGAGCTATAAAAGCCTAACCTGAGGAAGGAAGAGGTGAGAAGGGAAAAACCAAAAGGTTAGAACATTTCTGCTTCACAGGCACTCCCATATCAATCACTAATTCAGAAGCCAGTCACATAGTTTAAAGCCAAAGAGTGCATGTGAGCAAGACATCTAGATAATGCCTCTGGAAATTAAAAAAACAAAACAAAACAACTCAAAGAACACCCTCCACCTCCCACAAAAACTCCACCACTTTCAAGTTTTGGAGTCCCTTTGACCTCCACTTTTTTTTTTTTTTTTAACCCCACCCACCCCCTCACCCCAGCCTTGACCTCCACTTTTAACTAATGATTATGTTCATTATCTCACCAACCTCAACTTTTTATGTCATCGTAAAGATAGACAGTGAGGGAACTTTTTTCTTAATGTAACCAATTAATTTTAACACTATAAAAAATAGCACTCTAATCTGAAAATAACTCAAAACTCATGAATGTTTTATACAGTATAAAATAGTTGTCTCAACTAGACATGGACAAGGTTGCCAGAATTAAGACTAACAACTTGTTGAAGGATTATATCTTAAATGACAACAGAAAATACTTGTTCTGTAAGAATAGTGCTGCCAAAAAGATGCTGAGAAATGACGAAACAAGGAAAGCTGCTGCTTTCTGTTTAGTTACCAAATGAGAAACGAAAATCGGGAGGAGGGAAGGGAGGAAAGGGAAGAAAGGGAGGGAAGGGAGGGAGGGAGGAAGGAAGGAAGGAAGGAAGGAACTAGAATGGAATAAATTACCTAAGCAACATAAGAGAATTTACTGGCTATTATTTAAAAACAAACCAATGAAAAAACAAAAACAAAACTTCATGGACCTTTCTTCATAGACTCAAATTTAAGTAATTTCTAATCAAAATAGTTTATTTCATTAAGATGACACTATTTAATTGCTTTTTTTAAATTAAGAAACTACATGATCACATCCTATAGTTCAAAAAAGGAATCTGTGTTACTTTCCTATGCTTTCTATAACTAGTATCTTAGGTTAAAAGTACAGTACTTCTGTTTAAGTATTTTATAACTACAGCCATCTCTATTTTATATATATACACTAAGTAGTAAACATAAGTTAAATAACAGCATCTACACATTAAACATCTATAGCATTCCTAAAATTATCTGATAACCTTTATCGCCACTTGGTTAACCTCTCTACTGAACTTTAAGTATCATCTCGAACACCTAATACTAAATTTGATTTTGTGCATGTGTGTATCTCAAATATTAGACTGCTAAGTGCCATAAAAGCAGAATACACATACTAATTATCCACCATTTAATTAAAATTTCTACCTCTTCAACCACATTTAGTTTTGTACCTTCTCCTGCAAACTAATTTACTGGACTAAAATTTAATTCATTGCATCAAACAGTACATCAGCCCTAAAATTATCACCTAAAAAAATAACTCAAAATTTTCATACTGATTTTCATAAACTTGGAGATGTTTCTATTCTTACAACTATACTCACGGTCCAACCTCACCAAAAGCCTTTAATATCAAATGTATTCAATAAGGCTCAAGTTTAGACAAGTTCTTTCTGATTCAGCAGAATGTGAGTTGCTCAACCAAAAGTTGTGAAAGAAAAACTACCAAGATGCAAGACAGCAAAGTTCCTATGTCATTTCTACTGACAATCAGCTGATGGTTAATTACTACCGACCTTCAATGAGACTGAAAAGAAAATGCCTTATGCAATAGACTATGTATCCAGATATTTTCAGGAAATGTGACTTTGATGGGATTGTAGTATCACACAATATTTGTGAACAGGAACTATGACTGATGCTTACTTATGTCCCACAGGGCCTTTTAACCATATTATGTGTAAATACTTACAGAATTAATGTTTTAAAATAAAAAGTCAAATTTTTAAAAATAAAACTAATCCCCCCAAGAAAAGTCTTCCTGTTGAGTTTAACTAAAGATTAATATTCAAAAACAAATACATAATTTAGAAAAAATGTCCTGCTCTCCCCGCATACATTCCTATTTGGACCACTCTATCCCATACTAATCAAAATATCTCATCATTTTCAACTGGTTAGAGTTACAAACTAACTCTGATTCCCTCAACTATTAAGTTTGCTAGGTAAGCCTTCTTCTTCAAAGCAGAGATAGCTGCAGTCCATCTCAGTGATTAAATCTCTGTACAATGAAAGCATTTTAAAATAAAATTATTCTTGCTTCACTTTAAAATATAATTGTTTAAATAAGCAACTGGCTAAATAATCAGCATTGAAGTAAAAAAAAAAAGAAAAAGTGATTCATATCCTGTAAGAGCTTTAAAAATGTATAAATCCTCCTCAGCAGAATCTTTAACACCCTATCTTAAACGTCAAAATGTACAACAAAATGAAACCATAACCCACTGAAGCATAAAATACTTCAGAAGTTCCTGGTTTTCTGTTTCTTTACTAATATTTAAATGCTCTTATATCTATAAAATTTTAAAGTTCAAAAAACTGACAAAAAAATCCACAGTAACTTCTTTCATATTATTACTATTTGAGTCCTCACTGAAATGAAAATTTTTACAGTCTCTTTTAATTCACACAACACTCCTGAGAGGCAGGTATTATTTCCTTTATACAGATGAGGGAACAAAGGTTCACAAAAGTTAACTTTCCCAAGGTCACAAAGCAAATATAAGACCTGAGTCAGAATCTGAACCCAGATCTATGTGATTTCAAAGCCCTGTGCTCTCAATCACTGCTAGAAGGATGGTCCAATCTCAAAGGTAAAACTCCTTAAGCCAATCCAGAATAATTAATATTCTTAGTTTTAAAAAAAAAAGGCTTTCTATATTCAACAATCGAGTTCCAAATCAAATACCCTGATGGTCTATCCTGTTCTAAATTGATTATTTCAAAGGGAGCTAGTGGCACACTGTCATTATACTGTATTTAAGAAAACAAACCTCCCTTTAATGACTAAACCCCAAAGTCTCAAGGGACTCAAGTAATTTCACATCACCTCAGGTGTCTGCAGCAAACAGTATGCAAACTAACCCAGATCTCTGTTTGGTATCTGTAAAATGAGTGAAGTACTCTTTTCTCTGCAAATGACTTTCTAGTACGGGGGTGAGGGTGGATAGCGAAGGCACTCACCCTGTACAATAGAATATTCAGGCTCAGAGGAGTAAGTGATGATAAGGGTATAACCCTTTTAATAAAGGGATTTGTTCTATGAAGTTTGGATTAGGTGGGAAGGGCCACACTTGGGGATCTGGAGGGCCACATGTGGTCTTGAGGCCACAAGTTCCCCACCCCTGGATATCGTCAGCTAGTACACCAAGATTTGAAAAGTACTGGTAAAGCAAAGAAACGTTTCCTGCTCCTTTAAGTGAATCATTCTTAGTGCCCAATGGCAAACTCAGGAACAGTCACCGTGCTTAACACTCTTTTTTTAAACTCCACCCTCCACAGTAAAGCTTTAATAGCAATGGCTTCTTCCTCTGTGGTAATGATCTTTGTTCACCGCACTACCGATGGCTACCCTCCCAATTCAGGAGCAGAGAAAGAGCATCAGAGTGAGAGTGAACAAAAAAGCACTTACTGTACTCTTTTCTCATTGAAAATTGTACCCTTTATCTTTGTTGATTAAAAAAAAACTATCTGGATTCTTTCCGGACTCAACAAATAAGCAATTCTTTCTATCCACTCCCCATCCTCTAATGTTTTGTCCAAGGGCACGACATGTTTCCCTACCTTATAATAAATATTTAATATGACCAAAAAAACGGCACGCAAATTCCCCCCACCCCCCACCTTTTGGGAAAGGTATGTGGCCAACTAAGGCTCTTCCCTTCCTGTGGGATCCTCCCAGTGTTGCAGCAGGAAGCAACCAGTCCACAGAGATAAAGCAAGCGAGTATTTGTGCAGCGCGCAACCTTTCCTGCTCAGGAACTGGGCCTTCAGGTCTGGCAGGGATAACAGCCACCACCCATCCACAACCCCTTCCCGCGAGCGGAGTCAAGAGTTACCCTGGGTTGGTCGCCACTGGGTAGGGCAGGAGAAAAAAAGTCCAGGTGGGAAGTCAAATCAGCTTGCCGGGTCACTGCGACAAGTGCGCGCGTGGGTGACGGACGATCCCTCCTGCCCTCCCTCCCACCGACCGGGTGGCAACAGAGACAAGGGAGCCCTAAAAACGATTTGGGGAGGGAAGGTGGAGAACGAGTCGCCGGTGGGGGCGGGGGGCGGTCCGAGAAGGTGAATGACCGCGAGAACTGCGGGGCCGGTGGGGGTGGGGGACCCCTGGCCCGCTCAGGTTGAAGAGGTCCCGGACCCAGAATGGAAGGAGCTGACTAAGAGAGACGGCCGCCCGAGTGGCGGGGCAGGGAGGAGACGCAGAGGAGCGACTCGCTCGAAGAGGCAAAGGGGGCAGACAAGGAAAAGACCCGTAGTGGGAGTCTGCGCCGAAGGAAAGGCCAAAGAGAAGCGGAGAGCCCGCCGGCAGGGCTCAGGGAAGGGACGTGAGCCGGGAAGGGTGTACGCTGAGGGGGAGGGGGCGCTAGCCCCTCAAAGATGGTAGGAGGCGCGGCGGGTCCACAGAACCCAGGGAGAGGACTTAGACGATTTGGGAAAAGGCAATCCGCCGGGAGGAGGAGGCACAGGGAGGGGCTCCACGGCCAGCGAAGGCCTAGGAGAGGTCGCTGAGAGACCGGCGTGTGGTGGGGACCCCCTGTCTGAGGGGGGAGAAGAGGCCGAGCTGCGTGGGAGACGGCAGGGCGAACCGCACAGACAGGAAAGGCTGAGGCAGGCCCCCTTTCAGTGCAGGGGTGCCCGCACGCGGGTCCCCCGGGAGTGTCCCGGGCCCCTAACCGGGGACTCGGTGGAGACCGCGAAAGCCCCAGGCCTCACCTTTAAAGAGGTAGTCATACTCGTCGTCGCGGGTGCCCATTGCGCGGCCGAGGAGCGAAGGGGCGGGAGCAGCAGTGGTATCTGCGGGACCAGGGGGCGTCGCTGCAGGGGTAACCCGAGCGCCCAGCTTCAGCTGCCGGACCGGGAGAAGAGCCCCTCCCTGCTGCTGCGCCACTTCCGGCGGGCCCCAGCCCCTAAGGGGAAGTACTTCCGGGGAGAGGCGCCCCGCCCCTGAACTCAAAAAGGGCGGTGTGGGCTAGAGTGGTGTCGTGTCGGCCTTCAAATTTTCACCCCTAAAGGAAGTTCAAAGGGGAAACTGAGTCTTGGATTTTCAACTGGCCGCAGTCTTAGTGGCCTCGCGCTCATTTCTTGCGCTACTCTTCCCGGCATTGGGGTGCTGTGAGCGCGTGAGACCTGCCTTCGGGTGGTGGGTTAGCGGATGGGGGCGGGGTTCTCTAAGGATTAGAGAGTCGAAGGCGGATACCCTTGCGTGGCGGTTCCATGGTGTAATGGTTAGCACTCTGGACTCTGAATCCAGCGATCCGAGTTCAAATCTCGGTGGAACCTGTTCCAGTCTTTTTTTCCTTGGCCGTATCTTTAATCATTAATTTATTTGCTAATTGAACAGCCATAGTATATCTGGCCTTGAATTAAGTGGAGTGGAAATTTCGTAAATACAATTCTTGCCCATGAAGACCTCACAAATTTTCCCCTGCAGTCTGGGACTGTCTGCCAACGTGGGGGTCTCGAAATAAGTCTCTTCACTTTGCCTTTTTTAGCCTGAGCCCTCTCACTCAAACCTTAATTGAGAAGCTTCAGAGAAACCATTCCTTTTGCTAGAATTTTCTACCTCCAGCTTCGTTCAAGGGCAAGCACTTCTCACTCTTGCCTCCTATCTGGAAATCTCTCAAACTGACTCCAATTGACATTCAAAGAACTTCGCCCACCTTCCTCATCAAGATTCATCAAGAACTCGAGTCCTATTTGTAGGCCTCTAAGCTAAGCCTGTTTACATAATTATTTCATTTAACACGCAGAGCAAAGGATGGCAATTTCTATTTTAAGGGAAATGTGGATACTAAGATTCAAGTGCTTTGCTGAATAGCATACCGCAGTGTCTTTCTGTACTTGAAGAGATACAAATTCCAGAAAGCTTTTACCCGATTATTGTCACACCGCCTACCACATATATGCAAACTCTCAGTTTAGACTTTTGGGCAAGAGTGCCCGTAGTAGGCAGAATACTAGCCCCCGAAGATGTCCACTTCCCAATTCCTGGAAACTGAGTATGTTAGCTTACATGGCAAAGGGGACTTGAGGTTGCTAATCACCTGACGTTAAAATAGGAATATTATCCTGGATTATCTGGGTGGGCCCAGTGTTGTTGTTTTGCGGTGTATAGGTCTATGCAAACCTACCCCCAAAGGCCTGGGGAGCTGAGAGGCTGAAGAAGCTGACAAATCCAGTTTCTCAGAAAGAAACATTTAATAGGGACTTATGAACAGAAGCCGTGTCTCGGGTGGCCATGTGGTTACTCCCTGGTCCCAGGGCTTATTTACCATAGAGAAAGGATGTACGGACTTCAGAAGGAATTTGCCTAAGGGCAGGATTTGTGATAAGTAACCTTAGAGGCAGTTCCAGAACTGGGGTTAATTAGAAGTCAACATGGTGGATTAGCATCCAAGATGGAGTTGCTTTAGTCTCCACAGTTGTCATAAGTGTCCTTAAAAATGGAAAAGGGGCCAGGCGCAGTGCCTCACGCCTGTAATCCTAGCACCCTGAGAAGCCGAGATGGGAGGCTTGCTTGAGTTCAGGAGTTTGAGACCAGCCTGAGCAACATCGAGACACACCGCGCCCCCCAACCTCATTCTCTACTAAAAAATAGAAAAATTAGCCAGGCGTGTGGTAGTCGTGCACACCTGTAGTCCCAGCTACTCAGTAGGCTGAGGTAGGAGGATCCCCTGAGCCCAGGATTTTGAGGTCGCTGTGAGCTACAATGATGCCACTGCACTCCACCCAGGGCGACAGACAGAGTGAGACTCGGTCTCAAAAAAAAAAAAAAGGCAGGGGGGAGGGAGACAGAAAAGGTCAGAATGAGGTGATGTGAGAAGACCTCAACCAGCACTTGCTAGCTTTGAAGATGGAGGAAGGGGGCCAGGAGCTAGGAATCCAGAGGCTTCTAGGAGCTGGGAAAGGCATGGAAATGGGTTCTTCCTTAAGACACCCAGAAGGAATGTTACCCTGCTGACACCTTGATTTTAGCCCAGTGAGACCCTTGTCAGACTTCCAACCTACAGAACTATAAATAATAAATTTGTGTTGTTTTAAGTCAGCAAGTTTGTGGAAATGTTATGGCAGCAATAGAAAACTAATACAGTGCCACTTTCAGTGCTTTCTCTGCCAGTATAAAGTGATAAGAGATTTATCTAAGGTCTTACATACTGCCCTGTGCAGGTGGTGAACATCCAAATTGGGGGAGATGTGTGATATTACTAAAGCAGCCAAATATTTGTAGGACATCTGTTATGTGCTTCTGCAGATTATTTATCAGACAGTCCTAGTGCTTACTCGGGTTTTGTAGACAAGATGGGCCCAAGAAACTGTCCATAATGACAGTTCAGAAGGAGAACTAATGAGAGTTCGGTGGTAAGTGCCACAGTGCAGAGACAGACAGTTAGGAAGAACTCCCTGGAGGAGGAAGAGCTAGCACTGACCCCTGAAGGAAGAAGCAAGGAAGGAAATTCATTTTGGGAAGTGGGGGAAATTAGCTGGTAGGAGCATGTTGAGCAAGCCCCTTAATGCCAAAAGAATTATGGACTTTTCCCCCTTAAGTCCTTGTTGCTCAATGTGTGTTCTGAAAAGAACAATAGTGTTCCTCAAACGTCAGGGTTACATGGTCAAATAAATTAAAAATTACACACTATTAAGTGTTGCCTTAGCACACTGGCATTTTTAAGTCTGTAGATATTCTGCTCTGAAGAAATCTTTTTAACTGTGTTGAACACAGCATTTCCCTGATTCACCAGACTACAGAATTCTTTTTCCATGGAACATTCATTGTTCACATCCCGCTGAACATTTCGGGGGAGTAAAAAAAAAAAGATTTGTGGACAGAAGGGTGATTGAAGTAAACTTGGTCTTAGGAAAAGTAAGCTGGCTCTGGACTGTGGGACTGGAATAAAGAAAGACTGGAGCTGTGAGTATCGGATAGAAATCTATTTCAGTCAGCTGAGCACAAACTAATAGAAAGGGCGTGTAGCCACAAGAATAGGGAAGAAAGAAAGAATCATAGTCTATTGTGGAAATGAACTAATGAGTACATTTCATGGACAAAAAAGAGAATTAGGGTTTTACTTTCTTGTTTTGGGGGAGAAAGGGTAGTAATTGCTTGGTGTATCTTTTTTTAATCACTCAAGAAGTATGAAATGTAAATGGCTTAAATAATACGGAAGTATAGAGTAAATCCTCAAAGTCCTCCTCTGCTACTTCAGTTCCTCTCCCAATCCTAGAGATAACTGCTACATTTTTAAACATATATAGATATGATATATGTTTATTTGATGTATATATATATATATAAAATAAGGTTATATGTACTGTTCCTCATCTTGGAAATCTTTCCACATCAGTTCATACAGATTTAACTAATTTTCTGCATAGTTTTCTTTAGCAGGAATGTGCCATAGTTTGTACAAACATTCCTATCCCTTATCTGTGACTATGGCAGATACTGAGGGTTCACTAAATTGAAACCTACTCCCAACTCATTTCTTCCTTGCCCATTTCCCCAACAGAGGCTGGAAAAGCCAAATATTCATTTTCCCAGCTACTCTGCAGGTAAGAGCAGCCATGTGGGAATGTTCTGGCCAATAACACACAAATCTAAGTCTAAGTCATCTATGAAAACTTTTTCTAATAAGAGATAGGGGCTGCTCCTTCACCCCTTCTTTCTTCCAGCTATAAAGGGATAGCGTCTACCGATGTGGCAGCTCCCTTCTGCCAGCAGGACTAGGTCCAACATCATTGCCATCATTGAATTGCTAAACCAATGCCAATAACTACTCACCATTCACCAACATGAAATACTAGTAATATTTTTAATTTATGCCCATATAATGGTTTACCCAATAATTGCCACTTTTCTGATAACTAGTGAATGTAAACATTATCTCCTATGTTTATTAGCCATTTATATTTCTTCTGTGAATTGCCTGTCAATATCCTTTGTCCATTTTGAGAGTTGGATCGTGTATCTTTTCTTATACATATTCTAGCTTTTTTTCTTTCTTTTTTTTTTTTTTTAAGATATAGGGTCTCACTCTGTCACCCAGACTGGAGTGCAGTGGCATGATCATAGCTCGCTGCAAACTCGAACTCCTGCCCTCAAGTAATCCCCCCACCTTGGCTTCCCCAAGTGCTGTGATTATAGGCATGAGTCACCACACCTGGCCTAATTTTATTTATGATGCCTTTTTCCATACAGAAGTTTTAAATTATTATTTAATCAAATCTCTCAATCATTTCTTTTGTGGCTTCTGGGTGTTGTATTTTGCCTAAAAAAGGCTTCTCCACATCATGATTATTCAAAATTGTTTTTCTTCAAATATTTTTATGATTTTTTTCTCCACCTGGATTTTACTTATATTCAGGATGGTATGGAGTAGGGATCTAAATTAATTCTTTCCAAATGGATAGCCAATTATTTCAATATCATTTATTTGAATACTCCATTTTTTCCCACCAATTTGAAATGTCTAATTTATTATAAATGAATCTTACATATATAAATGAGTCTGTTCTCAAATCTTTACACTCTACCCCTGGCAGCCACAGAGGCACACTGCACAAATGTGCCTTCAAGAGACAGCCTGTTGTGAGAAGTGTAGCTGGCTGACACCCTCCAGCTGCCACACCTCCAAGCTCCACCATAATGTTCACACTGAAGCCAAGCTCCCTCGGGGTGGTTCGCAGACAGTGACTGAGCACAATGGGGGTACTAGAGTTGGACTGGTTCTGTTCAGAGCAGGGCTCTTCTAATGGACAATCATTTCTCTGGAGCTCTCTGTCGGCCAGGACAAGGTTTTATCAGAATTGCATAACAGTCTAAGGCTTTTTCTATCCAAACCTCTTTTCTTTCCTCTCTACTTGCATAGGTATTGGACCTGCGCAATGGTTTGAAGGCCTTCTCTCTCCCCTGTTTGTCCTTCACAGACATTTTCCTCAAATCAATCTCATGCATTTCTAATTCATCTGGTATCTATACCATCTCATTGATCTAGTGTTCTAGTCTTGTCACACTGCTTTAATTACTATAGCTTTTTAGTCTATTTTGATTTCTCATATGTGGTACTGAATGAGTATTTGTATCATGTTTAGAACAGTGCCTGACACATAATGGGAACTGTATGTATTTGGTAAATAAAAATAACTATGACAATTCACCTTCGCTGTTTTTTCTTTCTAAACTTTGACTTCTTTTATGTTTATTTTTTTTTCTTTCAGC